CCTTTTGTATTAATAAAGTGTAGTTTTGTGGTGTCATGTAACCTTATTCTTGATAATTGTAGAAGCTAGCTTGTGGGACGTCCACATGGGAGAAAATAACTGAACATGCGAACACTTGTGTGTTAGACAACAGTGAGTGGTACATATACAATGATGGAGAAAGTATTATACTTCTGTTCAACTGCATCTACGAGCTTGTAGGAGCAATTCTTGATGGACAAAATTGCCTGTCCTTGGACAAACTAGATGCATTTCAGAAGGTCTGTATCCCACTTCGAAATTTATTTGGTTCTCTAAGTAAGAGTTCAGAAGCTGATAGTATTTCTTGTAACTGCCAGCGGATGGTAGAAGACTTTAAGCGTCGTGCTTACAAAAATTTGAATCATCTCATTCTCCTTGAAGACCCCTCTCTGATAGGCCAAGCAGTCCTAGCATCAAATCTGCAAATTGGCTTTTCTCATATTCCTATTTCAAGCCAGCAGATTATGAACTACCCAGTTGAACAAGGTACGAATTATCAATATCTTCTTTCTTCAGTCACAAACCTCTTATTTTACCTTATATTTTCCATTTTCTATTGCCTTTTATTGTTTTCTTTTTTGGGGGGTGGGGATTAAGGGTTGGGGTTTGGCAGAAGTATGCTTTCAGATAAGCATATGCATGCTTCTGTTTGAGCATAAATAAGCTGTATCCCTGAACACGTTGTCACTGTTTGGACTTTGGAGCCAATAATAAACTTCTTTCAATGTTTTAACCAAGCATGTCCATGCTTCTGTTTGAGCATAAATAAGTTGTATCCCTGAAAACAGTGTCCCTGTTTGGACTTTGGAGCCAATAATAAACTTCTTTCAATGTTTAAACCATCTAAAGAGTAAAGACTAAAATACCTGCATTAGCAATTACTTGGTCCTCTTAGCGGTTGTACAGTAAATCTCGGTCTTGATATCCAGTGATGGAATGGCTTTTGAACCAAACTTCGTTGTTATTCCTCTTTCTTGCCTGAGAAATGATGGCATGACTAAGAAAATGTTTTCTGCAGATCAAGTGGAGTTACAGAGCAACTCTGATCATACCACAATTTCACCATCACTATACACAGCGCAACAAGATAGTCCAACTGCAGTTTCCATGCCTGAAAGCTTTCATGGAATGCAAGCATTTAATTCGACCTTGGCAAGCAGTTTCTTGATCAGTGATCCCTGCTGCAGTATCTACCCTGGTGACTACGACTGGGGTTCCAGTGGTTCAATTGAGTCACTGGGTATGACCGATTTTCTACCTCCCAACAACAATTATCAGCTTGGAACACCAGCATTGCCAGGGAACGGATTGTTCGCGAGTTCAAGCATTCAGCCAGTTTCTCCTGATTTAGGCTTTCACATTGCAAGACGTGGAAATCCCAGAGCAATATGGTGCACAATCCGTGCTGTCCTGAAATGGAAAACATTGGTTAAGCGAAAATGTTTGAAGATGGAAAGGCTTTTGCATGTAGATATCTGAAGTTAGTTGGAGATTTTGACCAGCAAACTTCACCTCCATGTCTCAGCCTATTCTTTGAACCTTTCGGTATCTATGTCAATATACATTGCATATAGCATATAGCATCTAGCATAAAAGAGTAAATTGTACATATAGTAAGGGTTTTGTCAGGATAAAGGTGCATGTAGGATAAATTTGCTTGCAGAAACAATAGCAAGCATTCAAATTTATGCTACCCCAAATGCCATCGTCCTTCGAGGAGTTTAGTGCTAAACTCTTTATTAAATAGTACTGTAGTAGTCTTCTTGTGTGTTTCTGCATCAGATGTAATAACTGGTGCTTATGTAGGAAGTAATATGAGATTATAATAATTAGATGTTGTGTCAATATTTGAATTATTTGCCTATGAAACATTTCTTCAGAAAGTTTTTCATAGATTTCTAGTAATCAAAGAATGAATCTCATAAAAAAAAGAATGAAGCTCATGAAAGACGAAAACAATTTTCCTTCGTCTTCTTTGAATGTCTTAATAATCAAAGGGGGTATTCAGAGATTTATTTTATTAAGGCAGAATGTCTTAAGACAACCTTAAACTGTGCCTAGTCCTAATTACTCCTACACTTGAATAAGTGAATTTAAATACCCCTCGGTCTACCACATGGCATAGCAAGTGGCCTTAGCCAGCCTTTGGTGTGTGAAGGTGTATAAAAAATGAGGTCTAAGCAGCTCAAACGGTCAAAAAGCCCCCTAATTAACATTTTCCGTTATTTTTCCCATCTTTCTCATGGCTACTCTTCCTATACCTTCAACCTTCCTCTTTATAACTTCCTTATTAAAGCACAACTAGTGTTTTTGCTTTCCCTATAATTCTGATTTTTCTTTTTTAATTGCAAAAGTTTCTAGACATATTTCTTGGTTTTCTCTCCAACTTTCTTCGAGACATTGAAGATGAACCCACTTTGTCGATTGAAGACCCACCACAATTTAAATATTATTCCATTTGATTGGAACCCATCCACACTAAATAAACACCAAAACCAACAAAATATAAACGGAAGCTTACTGAAAATTGTTTAATGGAAATTTCTAGACTTGAACCCTAAGATTTCTAGGTAAATCGAAGGAGCAAATGGGAGAAGCATTTGAGGGAATTTGAGAGAGTTCTGAGATACAGAGGAGTTTGGGCAGAATGATTTAATTTAGCTACTTTTACAACTTGTTTGGATGGTCGTTACCTTTGTATTGTATCGTTTTGTTACTTTAAATTCAATATTTATTTTGATTGTTACTTAAGTTCAATTGTATTGTATCGTTAAATCCATCGTTACATAACGGTGGAAAGTGCCACTTTATGAAACAATCGATTGGTGTTGCGGCATCGTTACCTTTTTTTTCTCATCTTGCACTTCCTTATTATTAAAAAATCTTATTTTAGCCTTTACCCTACCTGTTTAAATAATAATTCTATCTCGTAACTTACATTTTTTAATAATATTGCACGTTTATTCTTCATATTGTTGGTGTATGACATCATGAAATGACGACAAACAATACAATCTATCCATATATTGTATACATCAAAATGATACAATACAATACAATATAATAGTATACGATACATTATGAAATGATACATAGCAACCATCCAAATAAGCTATTAAGTTCTTAGGTTTTAATCCGCTTTTTATTTTTTTTTCTTAATTTTAGTATAGATAATATAAAACCCTATTATTTGGCCTACGTGGAGCACACATCGGATAAAATGTCCAACAAGGCTAGCAGGTGTATAAACTCAAACTAAGGTGTATGAGATCGAGGGGGTATTTAAATTTATTATTCAATTGTAGGGTGGTAATTCGTACTAGGTATAGTTTAAGTTTGGGGAGGAAACTAATAATCGGTATCAAGTTTAAAAGTGTTTTAAGGTATTTTGCCTTTAATTAATAGATTCAGAACAATCTGAAAGAAAACCCATCAACATTTTGGATTTGAGCTGACACAATTCATGATGTTCATGTTACTGGAAATGCAAATCTCTCTTTGGAAAACACGTAATCGCACTCATTGTTTATATCGAATCAATGTATTTAACCTTGACAATTGTATATTAAAGGAGAATACATACCTCTTAAGTATCGTAACGATAACTCTATATGTTGTGAACTTGTATTCTGCAAATATTGAATTATTTAGATTTAAAATTTAATGTAACTGCATTTGTTTATATCTAAGATAAATGGTGAACAAAAAACTTTAGTTGGGGAGCCATATGCCTAATAAATGAACAATTAGTTTAACTATGAGTTTAACATTAATAAGCATAATTATAAATAAACAAAAAAAGAAACAATTATTTTTTCCTCTAAAGGTAGATGGAACAAAAATAACCCCTTTCTGAATTACATCATGAACTTCCGCCCGGAAAAAAAAAAAAAGGCAAGCCACTTAAACTTGTAGGGTTTTTAAAAGCTGATACATAACTTTCAACTTTCTCATTTGAACACTCGAACTCATTTTTTCGATAACTAAGAAACACATTTGACCAATATTGACCATGACCATGTGGCATCAGTTGGTCCTAATTAGCAGGTCGCGTGAGGAACACGACGCACAGGAGCGTGAAAGCCCCCTTTCCAACGCCCAATGGTACAAAATGAGTTGTATTTAAGTGTCTTCTTCTTCATTTCTTCTAAAATACTCTATTTCTCCATTTTTGTAAAATCTGAAGCTCCATTCCTTCATTTTGTAAAATCTAAAATCTGAAGTTCCATTTCTAATTTTTTTTCTTTTTTCAGACCGTGAAAATGATAGAATCGAAAAGAGACAAATGAACCTTCAGATCATATAATGTCACTGGAATCGAAATCACGGACCAAACGAAACTCGATCAGAACGAGATTAACATATAATAAACGAAAACAAAAAAATGGGTAAGTGATTATGATCGATTTTGGAAGGGGTCAGTGATTATTAGCCCATTGGTAACCCAGGTTTAACATGGGAGGGTTTGGTTAGAGAGAGGTTACAATGAGGAAGGGGTCGGTCTATGGAATAAAAGAGGGAGCCCCGATCTGTTGGGTTAGGGTTTTCGCGGCCTTGATGTGTAAGACATCCATTGATCATTTGTTGACTGGATGGACACGTATGTGTATATGTAATACACGCGCGCATGATCAATGGTCAAATATGTTTATTTGTTACAGAAAAAATGAGTTTGAGTATTCAAATAAGAAAGTTAAAAGTTCATATATGACTTTTAAAACCCCTACAAGTTTAAGTGGCTAGAAAGCTATTCTGCCCAAAAAAACAAACAAAAAAAATCATGTAACCTTTCCCACTATTTGAGGACAACCCGAAGCCGTATAGGTTACACATTACATCATGACCCGGGAACCGACAGCGACTTTATCGGATCCAGTGGTACGTTTCGTAAATTCCACAATCCTTCAAACCCAATTCCAAAACTCACCCAAAAAATATCTTCTCCGTTTGGAAAATTTGAAATTCTCGAACGTTCCTTCTGGGATCACAAATCTTTTCTCCTGCCAGATATTTTCATCTTCCCTTCCTCCCTTAAAACACAAATCTTACAGATCATCTCTTCCACGTTACATATTACGTTTCTGCCTCCATCTTTTTCCTCTTCAATATCTTCCCCTTTTCCCCTCTTTAAATTCTCAAATTTTCGTAACCGTATTTACTAATGGTTTAACAGAATTTATAACTTGGATGTGTGTACCTGTCAATTTAGGTACAATTTCTGTTTTGGCATCGATTTTTGGGAATTTGGCTCTGGGTTAGAAGAAAGCAAAACGGGTATGGATCGAGAAGGAGGATCCGCCGGATCTTGCTACTATTCAGTGCTTGGGATTCGTAAGGATGCCTCCTGCTCCGACATTCGCTCAGCTTATCGGAAACTAGCTCTGGTAAGCCGCAGAGTATTTTTTTTTTTTCAATTAACTCGGAATTGGATAAAAAGTTAAACCTTTGTACAAATATATAGTGAGTACTATGTGTAAGTGCATATGCGAGTATAGTACTAACATGCGTGTGATTTTTGGGTGAAGAAATGGCACCCGGATAGGTGGGCAAAGAATCCGTCGGTAGCGGCAGAAGCGAAACGCCGGTTTCAGAAAATCCAAGAGGCCTACTCAGGTTACAATTGATTCATTTATTTACAGTGATATAAAAGTAGTGTCTTTTGATGGAATCCGTTGACGGACGTCTGTAGTTATTTTAGCTTGTTGAAAAATAAAATGTCGTGTTCTCCGTTTTTCGTGTTGGCAGTTCTCTCCGATGAAGACAAGAGGTCAATGTATGACGCCGGTTTCCTTGATCTACTTGAGGAAGACGAAGTACGTAATTTTCCTCCTTTTTCCCAAGTAATCATTAAGAAATTCCCAGATTTTTATCCTCACGTTTCTGATATTCCACAATTACTAGTTTCTGATAAAAACTACTCCCTCCGTCGCTGATAAGAAACTGGAACTGAGGGAGTAGTTTTTATTAGGAGAAAGAAAAAATAGAAAGTGACATATGGAACTCCTCTACATTTTATGTAATTGTTAATGGTAAGAGCAAGTCTGATATCATATATTTAATCTATGTTTTGAAAGTCTTTTTAATTTTTACAATTTATGTTAAATATGTTTTTTTATTCTCAAAATCTAATGTTTAGTTAAATGCCGTAGCTAAAATGGGATGGAAGGAGGAGAAGTCCAAATTAATGTAAATTTTCGGGACAACGAAGAAGCAAATCATTTTACATTTTACCTTGTCATCCCTCCGTTTTCTTCATGTTACTTTAGGGTGATTATAAATTTACCCCCTAAGATTTTGGTGAAATTGTATGCAGGGAATGTGTGATTTCCTGCACGATTTGATGAACAGAATGGATCAAAATGTAGGGGCGGCGGTAAGAGATTAATTAGTTACTCCTACATGCATTTTTTAAGTGTATGATGCCTTTTGAAATATTGTATGTTTTTTCTTTTGAATTAATTGGAAAGGAGGAGAGTCTAGAGGATTTGCAGAGGACGTTCGTAAAAATGTTCGGTGGAGATTTAGCAAAGATGATGGATGAGGGAAATCCAACGGTGAAGAAGAGGGCAAGGGATTCAGGTTCCAACATAAGAGCTGCTCCAAAACGCAACACCACCTCTTATCGCTGTTAATTTTAATCAAACGGTAGGGAAGTGGTCCCTACCCAGCCCCTACGTGAATTACCTGTACAAACCTTTTGGTGTTGATTTAGTGGGCTGGATTAGATGAATCAGGGAGGAATTTAACTGGTTTATTGGAGGTACATTTGGCTAGTCAAAAAGAACTTTTTTAGACTCTTACTTTTCTAAGGAAGTTGTTTGGTGGCTCGCAAACTTTGAAAAAGTGTGGAGTATTAAATTAGGGGGCTGTTGAGTTGCGTAAATAAAGCTTCTCTTTGCTTAAATATCTTTTGTGGTTCCTTCGAAATATCGTCGCATCGCATTAGATTTGTGGTGAGTGGTTCCCTTTACCTTGTGATTAGCTTTTTGAATGTATTGTTGATATCTTGTAATTTTAAGCAACGGTGTACAAATAAAATCGACAAATCGTATCGATTCGATAATTCGAGTCAAATCGAAAAAAAATTCGACTATGATTTATTTTGATTGGTTTTTGGTGTTGGAAAAAAAAATCGACAATATTGGTTTGGTTTGTTTTTAACTTAAAAAAATCAAATCGAAATCAAATTAACCCGACATTATATGTATAAAAGTTTTAAATTAATACATGAAAATATTTATTGTAGTGTAGTTTATAAATATTTCTTAAATTTTTTTATAATTTATCTTTTAAGGTATTATTTCAAGCTTGGATTTATAAATTTTGGATGTTTCAATAAGTTTTATAGTCCATAAATGTTAGTAACTCAAATAAATCCTAAATTAAACCAAAATCAAATCAATACTAATGATAATAAAAGACATTCAATTCAATTGTACTATGAATGAAAATAGTATTGGATATTTACTTTTTAGTTTTTTTCAAGGTTTAGATAAAATGCATAACTTATTTTTTTTTTTTAGTGTTTAGTCATGTAAATAATAGTACTTATTAGTCGTACTTATTTTAGCAACTTATTAGTAATTTTAAATTATATTTATTTTCATTATGGCTTATTAATAATATTTATTTTATGTGATTCTCATCTTTATTGTTGAATATTTTAGTACAATGCCATAAATCATCTCATATTTATGTTATTTTATTAAAAACACCTTATATAGTTTTGCGTTACTAGGATTAAAGAAATAATTGGAGCACAAATTCTATGTTTTGTGTTATGAAGACTTTATGGGGGGGGAAATCGAAACAACCCGAAAACCCGAGAAAAATCGAGATTTAAAAACTCTATTTTTATTGGTTTTGTTTGGTCTTTAGATTTAAGGCCAAATACATATTGGGTCCCTTAAACTTGGCACCAAAATCCATTTGGACATCTCAACTTAGTCATGTTTCATTTAAACACTTCAACTACATTTCAACAGTGCCATTTAAACACAAAATACTATCGTGGCAAAAAGATTGTATTCACGGCTCTTGGGCGCGTGACTGGATCTGATATAATATTTTCCTTTTCTTTTTATATCCCTTTTCCCCCAAAAGTTCATCACCACCGTCCCTGGCCTATTGCTACAACTCATCTGTCACCATTTTCTTCCCCTTCCCCCTCCACTGTCTTGAAGCAATAGGCCGAAAACCTTTTAAATTTTGTAGGAATTTTGCTGGCTTGATAATGACATAATCTATGNAAATTTGGAGGCTATTTTATTCTGTTTTCATTCCCACTTGATTTTGCACTTGAATTTCATAGATGTGGGTTGGTTGATTTTGACCAATAGATGATTGATGTGGTTATGAAAATTTCTATGGGCAATTTTGTTCTTGAATTTCAATTCAGATCTGGGTTTTTTTTTAAGTGTTTAGGTGGTGGCATTCTGGGGAAGAAGTGAGAAACGGGCTTGGCAATTAGTGATGGAATTTTGCAGCAAGGCCATGAAAAATTCTAATAATGTGATCGACGGCTTAAGCGAAAAAAATGGTAAAGGAGAAAGAAAACGAAAAAAATAGAAATAATACATGATTCTTCTTCCATTTTTATTTTTTTCCTTTATTGACTTGTGTTTTTGTTAGTGGTGTTAATTGTCATGTCAATGGCAAGTATCATTCACGCACTTAAGCTTTGCTTAGAGTTGTCAAAATTGTATTTAAGTGAAACAGTTGAAATGTAGTTGGAGTTTTTAAATGAAACATGACTAAGTTGAGGTGTTTTAATGAATTTTGGTGTCAAATTTAAGTGGCCGCATATGTGTTTGGCCTAGATTTAATAACCCGATATAATTGATTTGATTTGGTAATTAAAAAATATGAACCAACCCGACCTATGTACACCCTTAATTTCAAGTTTCATCCGATTTGGATCATCAACTTTCTAATATTATTGAAACTTTTTATCATATTCACTCAAAAGTTAAAAATCTGAATAAACGTTAGTAATACCACGGTAAGAATTGAGATGCATTGCATTGTCGGAGTGTGGAAACTTATTATGAACCATTGCCAAAAAATCATTAACTCCTTTAATCATTCTTTAATTCTTTCTGCTTGGTAGTTGTTCACACAAAAAACGAATAGAGTTGAATTTATACGTAATTCTAAAGATATGTGTTATAACTTAGCACAAATCAGAAAAATAAGTAAAAATATATCGAATATTGACTGTAAAAAAAGAATGAAATACAAATCAAATTGTGTAGAGAATAATTTATAAACAAGCAAGATGAATCAATGTCCAAGCCCAAAAAAGAATAACCTCTATATTTCTGTGTAAATATCAATAAATCTTTGAAATGTGAGTGTATTGATGTTGAATGTTCAATGTCCCCCCTTTACAGAAATGATAGTCACTCTTCATATAGTGGAATAATTCTATTTTGGATATAATTAAAAATACATAGTGGGGATCCCATGATAGAATAATCAATTAGTTTTTCTTTGATTTCTGCCGAGATTCTCTCCCTTAGTGCGGCTATAACGGATTTGTTGTCTCTTAGCTCGATCTTGGTCGGTCTTGGTAGTGGTCGGTCTCTGGATCTCGAGCTCGATATTAACTCGAGCTCGGCATTGATCGGTCTTTGGCTCTCGAGCTTGATAACCCGTCTTCTCATCGTATCTCGAAATTATAATGACGACCCTCGGTCCATTATGTTTCAATCTTGACTAATTGTGCGTAAGGCAAACTCGATTTTCACAGTAGCTTATCATTATATTATAGTGCTTTCCTTTTTCTCTTATTTCACGAAGAAGATATATAGTGACATAGATTAGCTTGGGCAATGATTGAGCAAGAGAGGCAAACGGCGAATGGATGGTTCCTAGGAGAAAGTAGCGGAATGAATCGGAAAAGAGCGGGTGTTTAGAATTATAAATTAAATATTTAAATGTAAGGTAAGACGTGTAACGTGGTAGGGAGGATGAAATGACACATAATCCGACCAACAACAACAACATATTCAGCATTATTTCATATCGTAAAATCTAAAAAGAATAACGTGTACGCAAACATTATTTACCTTGTGAAGATAAAGAGACAACACATAGCCCGACCATGGACCTTATAGTACAGCATGAGCAATGGCTTGAAGGAATTGAATAGAAACAAAAAGGAGCTTCTAATAAGACACGCGGCATTCTTCCTCATGTTTAAAAAAGTGAAAAAGATAGCAGTATAGATAGATAATGTTTTTTTTGGAGTTAGATAATTCATTGGTGGTTGGAGAAAAGAAGAATTGAAATACATCGTTGGTCTCATAAATATGGCACAATATATTAGTTTGGCATCATATCTTTACGTGATATTTATTGAACATCTCATATCTTCTTTAACTTTTTGCGTATCACTTTTTTTCTTATATTTATTTTATATTGGATTGGTTTGCCACGTCAAAAAGATTAACATTTCATGTACTTTGATTCATTCGTAATTGTATAATTTATGTTTAATAAGCACATTTTGACAACATAAGATATTTAATACATCTAACCTAAAATTTAGGTGTTAAAATAAAGCTTCGTGCCAAATATATCGTCGATGTATTTAGCAGAAAAATAGATGAAGAAGAGAGAATTCACCAGCGATGCTCCAAGGTCATGAAATGGTAAATCTAGTATTTTCCGTAGTTAAAAAAAAGGGAAAAGCACTATTCCTTCTTGTTATGTATATATTTGTCACTTTAATAAAATATCAACAACAACAATAAATCCAGTATAATCTCACAATTGGGTTTTAGAAAGGGTGTAGATAATACGCAGACTTTACCCCTACAGTAATATAGAGAGATTGTTTCCAATAAACTATCGACATGAAGAAAAATAAAAATAGAGTAATAGCATTGTATATGGTCAAAATCGGGCATATCTGATTTCGTTGGCAGGGGAGTTGCCCCGAGGGTAACCTCATAATAGATCGGGCTCGAGTTCGAAGATAGAACATCGAGCCTAGAGATCGAAGTGTTCTATGAGATCGAGGCCAGCAACAATCAAGATCAAGCATGACTGACATCGAGTAAGGCGTAATAACGGAATGGCGAGATATCAGTAACCGGTCGAAGATCACGGCGGAAATCCCGGAACAGATCAAATCAAAGCGGTTGTTAGTGTTAATCATGGGATCTACTTCCGTTATTAGAGTTGTACCTTATTTAGGATTCCTCTATTATATAAAGAGGGATCTCATTCACTTGTGAGGGAATTATTATTCACTGAGAAGAATATACATATACGATGTTTTCTTTGTTCATCACTGTTCATCGCTGTTTGTTCCATCCTCTATTGTTCTTATTAACTAGCCTCAAGGTAAGACAAAGGGATAATGAAGTGCTGAGGGAGTTCGTGTCCCGATTTCAAATGGAACGCATGGAGTTGCCACCGGTCACAGATGATTGGGCCGTTCAAGATTTCACCCAAGGGTTGAACGAGTGGAGTTCGATAGCATCACGTCAGTTGAAACAAAATTTGATCTAGTATCTAGCTGTAACTTGGGCAGATGTGCACAATCGATATCAAGCAAAGATCAGGGTCGAGGACGACCAATTAGGAGCCCCTTCTGGTTCAGTACATCCAAACATGGCAGTAGTTAAAAATCAAAGGGATGTTGACAGGGAGCCAAGATCGAACAGAGACCGATATCAACCATATACCGTAGATCGAAGGAACAATGGTTCAGGATGCAATACCGCTCAGAATGATCGAAGAAGTGATCGAGGACAGAATTCTCGGGGACTTATGAGAAAAAATGGTTTTGACAAGTATGTCGATCCCACAGAGGCACCTCGATTATCGGAATATAACTTTAGCATCAATGCATCGGGCATTGTATCGGCAATCGAAAGGATCAAAGATACTAGGTGACCTAGACCCATACAAACCGA